GTGGCCTACGAGCTACTCTCATAACAAAGAGTAAGTTATTTTTACCCGTTATAAACTACTACTGTTTGATGAGAAATCAAATCATGGTTTGCTATATATGAATTCAGGGAAGAAAGGATAGGCCTACTAAGTATTTCCATTAAACTTTATTTTTAGAAATGTACAAAATGAACATAAATATACATATATACACGGTATATCATCCATTCCTCCTCCTCGCATCTTGCCTGCGCACAGTCGGTGCGGTGCCTTTTAGCACCCTCAGTAGTAGTAGAATCCCTTCCCCGTCATGGATTGTCCGCCAGGATCTGGCTGGACGAAATCAAATGCAAATCACAAAATATTAGAGAAACTTAGTTGTTTTAGATTCGTTAGTAGTAGTTGTGTAATGAACAGCTTGCCTGCTAATATGCTAACCTAGCTTTGTTTACCTTGGTAGCTAACACGATATGAACGTTAGCTTGGAGGAAAGGCAACTATAATGCAGTGTAATAAAACTACTATGAACAAAAGCTAGTGGTTCATATTAGGCTAGCAATAACGTGTTTATAATTGCAATCGTATACGGGTATTCTGCTACGTTCGGTCATACAATGTAACTTGCATGAATACATTGTTTTGCGCTAGCATACAGCTAGCCTCGTTAGCTACATGCAGTATATGTACGGTCACAATGTACGGTAAATCACAGTACAGTATACTGTATGAGTATTCCGTGTGTGTGACTGCAGACATTCTCCTGCCATGACAAACATGTAAGGCCATCTGCTGACATTGTAGTTGATATATTTAAACGCTAGCAACGTAGCATCACAAAAATGTTTTTCTGACCGAAACTAGCTCTAGCTCCGTGTGTTAGATCGCTACGCCAGCTATAATGTAATTACGTTTCGCGACTGACCGGCAAATCACCCGGAGTATACTGTCAATAGGTATTTTGTGTGTGAATGCAGACATTCTCCTGCTATGAGATACATGTATGCAAGGCCATCTGCTGATATTAGAGTTGATATATGGAAACTCTAGCAACTTAGTTAGCACTGTGTCAATGGCTTAGCAGTCCAACACAGTTTACACATTTAAACAGTCTTGTTTGATAAATACACAAATAACAATGCAAACTTACAGGTTGTATACCCAGATCTTCCCCTGCTCCAAACGGTCCAAACAAGCTGTGCATATCCGGCCTCAAACTGGGCAATGTTTTGGAAGCTTTCGTCTGTGAAATGCCGGTTCTTCGAACCTCTGGAGGAGGAACACGACGCTGCTGGTGTGGCCATAGCTCTTCGGGATTGGTCCATTTCGTTCCGGGTACCGCATGACATCAGGCGGTACCCGGAACTAAATGGAAGACTCAAATGGGCAGTGACGTATCTCCAACGAGGCGTTTTGGGGAGGTATTTTCTGTGTTAGAGTTTTACTCGCTACAGGGTGTACTTTGAGGGTTTTGACTCTGCACACCGTTTACATGCATAAAAACCTTCATAACACACAAGGGGACGGGTAATAACCGGAAAAGCATGACATGGGAGCTTTAATCTTTGAAGAAAATCTGAATAACTTTCTCCAAAAACACGTTTTCCCTTTCTTCAATCTCACTTTGAGAGGTTTGTATCCTGCAGACTTTAAACAATAACTCTGATCATAACAGTGCTGCCCCCTTGTGGCCTGTCGGGGTACAAAGAGGCCAGTTGTCATTACTTTCCATGACTCAGGACATACAAACCTTCATAGATCTGTTCATCATTTGTTCTGCAGGGTGGAAGAAATACTCAGATCTTTAATGTAAATGCACAAAATGTCCCTTTCTGCAAATAGTGATTATTTAAACGATCACAAACTAGTTTAAACTTTAACAATGTGTTGGGAAAATAGGAATTAATGTCTCCA